GCAGGAGACCTTGGCAGCTTTATCCGAGGCACAAGGGCATGGCAAGAAATGCGAGGCGGAGCTGGATCGTCGGAGTCGTCAGAATGATGACCTGACCTTGAAGGTTCAAAGGTTGGAGCATCTACTGAAGACCGAGGCTGAGAAGTCTGCTTTGCTGCTGAAGGAGCTAGAAGCCGAGAAGAAGGAGTTCGGCTCATACCGGGAGAGGGCCAGGAGCAAGGTTTTTTCTCAGCATGAAGCCGGCTTCGCCCAAGCGGCTCGGCAAGCTCGACATTTTGGGAGTTTTCCTCAGGACTTTCAATTTGATATGGCCATGGACTTCTATCGGGGGAAATATGTCAATTTGACCCAAATCCCGCCGAATGAGCAGCCGGACACTGAAGTCCCTGTTCGTCCTGAGGCCGCACCGAGTGGAGGCGGTCACGTGCAGGAGGAAGTGGCCGAGCAAGAGCCTTCAGTACAAGGGGAGCTCGAGGCACAGGCTTAGGGTGATTTGCTTTTAATTTTGTATGTTGGGGCCGATAGTGCCCCGCTCAATCTCTTGTAGTTCTGGGCCGTTAGAGCCCTTTTGATTTGTTAATGCAATTTCCTGCTTTTATCAGTGTTTCCAAGCGAACAACGATATAATAAATTTGCCGAACGTAGTATAGTTTATAATAAATTGTAAAAGTCACATCCTTAGCCGAGAGTCGTCTCGGAAAGAAAGACGAAATTTGAAGTCACATCCTTGGCCGAGAGACATCTCGGGAGGGAAGACTTGTAAATTGTAACGAAAGCCACATCCTTGGCCGAGAGACATCTCGGGAGGGAAAACTTGTAAATTGAAACGAAAGCCACATCCTTGGCCGAGAGACATCTCGGGAGGGAAGACTTGTAAATTGAAACGAAAGCCACATCCTTGGCCGAGAGACATCTCGGGAGGGAAGACTTGTAAATTGAAACGAAAGCCACATCCTTGGCCGAGAGACATCTTGGGAGGGAAGACTTGTAAATTTTGCATGAATATAGAGCAAGACATAAATAGCTGAATTGTATTGTTATTGATGATTGGATGCCTCGTTAAAAACCTTGCCGGCCAAAAACCTCTTTTCACATTTTTCTAAGAGGAAAAAAGACTGGTTCAAGGAAAAGAGTGCACCAGAAGACATTTACACATATACACGAAGTGGAATCCTAACTGTAATAGGTCTTCAAATGGGTAGAATTCCATGTCCGGGGGATGATCTTGCCGGACAATTCTTCTAAATTGTAAGAACCATTATTAAGGGTGTCTGACTCTGAATGGGCCGTCCCAATTTGCCGCTAGTTTCCCCTCGGTCGAGCTTCGTCGTGCCGAGCCAGTTGATCGCCAAACCAGATCACCTTCTTGGAAACTCCTTGGTTTTATCTTGGAGTTAAATCGCCGGGTCATTCGTTGTTTACACGCTTCAGCGATGACTTGGGATTTCTCTCGGACCTTGTCCACGATGTCTAGTTCAGCTCGGATTGCACCATCGTTAGACTCCTCATGAAAGTGTGTTCGTCGGAATGAAGGTTCGCCAACCTCGACTGGAATCATAGCATCCATGCCGTATGCCAGCCAGAACGGAGTTTCCTTTGTGCTTGATTGAGGTGTGCATCTGTATGCCCAAAGAACTTCAGGAAGCTCTTCGGCCCATAATCCCTTTGCCGTGCCAAGCCGTTTCTTTAACTCGGTGAGAAAAACCTTGTTAGCAGCTTCAGCTTGACCGTTAGACTGTGGGTGCTCGACAGAAGTGAACCGGTGTCGGATGCCAAGGTTTTCGAGAAAGAAATTGAATTTCTTATCCGTGAATTATAGTCCATTATCGGAGATGATTGCGTATGGGATGCCGAACCGGGTGATGATGTTTTTCCATACGAATTTTTGAACATTAGCTGCTGTAATGGTAGCTAGCAGTTCGGCTTCGATCCACTTAGTGAAATAATCGACGGCTACTACCAGAAACTTGCATTGACCTTTAGCGAGTGGAAACGGGCCGAGAATATCAATGCCCCATAAGGCAAACGGCCAAGGGGCGCTGACCGAGTGGAGCTGCTCGGCCGAGGCATGTATTAGGTTGCCATGCTATTGGCATTGCTTGCACTTTTGACATATTCGGCGCAGTTAGTTTTCAAGGTCGGCCAATAGGAGCCGGCTCTCAGCACTTTAGCAGCTAAGGTTCTTGCACCTGAGTGTGATTCGCAAATTCCTTCATGAACTTCTCGTAGAACATAATCGGCTTGTGGTTGGTCAAGGCATTTTAATAAGGGTGTAGAGAACCCTCGTCGGTATAGTTTACCGGTAATTACAGAGTAACGTGCTGCTTGAGTTCGGACTTTCTTGGCTTCCAACGGATCAGACGGTTCAGAACTGTTGATGATGTAATTAATGATGTTTGTCATCCATGAACTTGTCGGTCTTTCAATCGGCATGCACTCTTGTGGAATACTTGATGCAGGTAGTTCCAAGTGAATGGTTGACCGAAGCTGTCCTAGTTTTCGACTACTAGCTAATCGGGCTAGTTGGTCAGCTCTCTCATTGTGACACCGTGGTGTGTGTCAGACTTGTATTTCATGAAACTGATCCTTCATTGCCTTGAACATGTGGTAATACTTCAACAAATGCGCGTCTTTGACTTGAAAGTTGTCGTTGACCTGTTCGGCCACCACCTTCGAGTCAGTCCAACACACAATTTTTGTAGCACCCATCTCGGCAGCCAACCTCATGCCGGCAAGCAAAGCTTCATATTCCGCTTGGTTATTAGAGGTCTTGAAGCCAAATCGCAACGATTGTTCAAGGGTAATTCCGGATGGGCTTTCCAAGATTATGCCGGCACCACTTCCTTGTTGATTGGACGACCCATCCACATGCATAGTCCAAGCGGTATCTTCAAACTGGCCGAGTGGTGACAATTCATTAACGAACTCGGCTAAGCTTTGTGCTTTGATGACTCCTCGAGGCTCGAAACGGATATCAAACTCAGAGAGCTCAATTGACCATGCCATCATTCGGCCGGCTAATTCTGGTTTTTGCAATACTTTGGCAATCGGACAATCTGTTCGGACTACAACGGTGTGACATTGAAAGTACTGATGGAGACTCCTAGCCGCATACATTAGTGCCAACGCCACCTTCTCTAGCAATTGGTATCGCCGTTCGGCATCTTGCAACACTCGGCTAATGAAGTATATCGGTTGCTGTTGTCCGTCATGTTCCCGTATCAAGCCGATGCTTATGGCTTCGCCCGAAACCGCCAAGTACAAGATTAGTTCTTGGCCTGATGTTGGCTTTGTCAATACCGGGGGAGTGCCGAGGCATTTCTTGAAAATTTGAAAAGATACTTCGCATTCTTCTGTCCATTGAAATCTGTTTGCCTTTTTCAAAAGGCCAAGGATCGTCTTGGAAGTCTCGGCCATGCATGGTAGGAAACGGGATAAAGTTGTTAGTCGACCAGCTAACTTTTGGACCTCTTTCAAGTTCGATGGACTCCTCATGTCGATGATAGCTTGGCATTTGTCCGGGTTAGCCTCGATGCCCCGACTTGACAGCATGAAACCTAAAAACTTGCCGCCTGAGACGCCGAATACACACTTATCGGGATTAAGTCTCATCTGATGTTTCCGAAGGGCGCGGAAAACTTCGGCGAGATCGGTTACATGGGCAAATGTGTCAGCCGATTTGACAACCATATCATCCACGTAAACTTCCATATTTCTCCCGATTTGATTGTCGAAGATCTTGTCCATGAGCCTTTGATATGTGGCCCCAGCATTCTTCAGGCCGAATGGCATTACTTGGTAGCAGTAATTGGCAGATTCTGTAACAAATGTCGTTTTATCTTCGTCTCGGGGGTACATTCGAATTTGATTGTAGCCCGAGTATGCATCGAGGAATGTTAGGAACTTATGACCAGCTGCACCATCCACCAATCGGTCTATGTTTGGCAACGGATAAGCATCTTTGGGGCAGGCTTTGTTCAAATCTGTGTAATCAGTACACATTCGCCATTTGCCATTCGACTTCTTGACCATGACAACGTTGGCCAGCCATGTTGTGTATTGGATTTCTCGAATGAAATCTGCTTCAAGGAGCTTAGACGTTTCGGCTTCAACCGCCTTTTTCCTTTCTTCCCCCATTTTTCTCTTACGTTGGGCGACCGGTTTGGCCTCCCGGCACACTGAGAGTCGATGGCATAAGAAGTTAGGGTCAATCCCGGGCATGTCGGCCGGTCTCCATGCAAAGAGGTCTTTGTTTTTCTTTACCACATTTTCGATTTCATGCCTTTCGGTCTCGGACAGGTTGGAACCTAGGTAGGTGACATGCTGGTTGGTCGGCCCGATAATCAGTGGGTACCGATCTTCAATCGGCTCGACCCTCTCATCTTGATCCATTCGAGGGTCGAAGTCTACAACCGTTTCGAGGTCTTGGGCTACCGAATACACGCGTTTCTCTCGACTCGGCTCGGTTGCTCCGAGGCGGGGCAACCGGAGACTAGCAAAATAACATTCCCTAACCTGTTGAGGGACGGTCTTCCAAGAAGAATGTTATATGACGTGTTAGCATGCACAACCACGTATTTGATCGGGATGTCTTTGACTTCGGGTCCATCGAAAGAAAAACGAGTGGATAACTTGATGTATCCTTTCGTTTGTACACGCTCACCAGAAAATCCAACCAGCGGCTCATTGTATGGGATCAGTTCGGCTTCCGAGATGCCGAGTTGCTTGAAGGTATTCCAGTAAAGGATATCGGCCGAACTTCCTTGATCGACCAATGTCTTCCGAACGATGCAGTTATGGATTTCCACGCTGATGACCATGGGATCGTCCTGATCAGGATCGATGCCCTTGAAATCAGCCTTAGTGAATGTGATGGCCGGCAACCTCTGCCAGGTGCACTCGACCGCATGGACAGTTCGGACAGCTCGTAGATGTCTCTTCTATGCTGAGGAGGTGGATCCTCCGCCCGCAAATCCACTGGCAATAGTATTGATGACCCTTCAGGGTTGGGTTGTGGGCTCGGCTTCTCTTCGGTCTCTCGACCGGCTTCGTTCCCTATGAGGGTGCCTATCGGATCTCTCTCGGCCATGTTGTTCCCCACGATGCCGGTGATCATCGCGTCTGGGAGAGCGGGGCCGATCGACAAAACGGTGAAGCTGCCCTTGCTTGATTAACTCCTGGATTTTATCTTTAAGAGCCGCACAATCCTCAGTTGAGTGACCTCGGTTTCGGTGATATTTGCAGGACTTGGTTATGTCGGCGCGTGGAGGGGTTGACGCTCGTTTTGGTACTGCCAAAACCTCTGAAGCGAGTGCCTGATCTAGGACAGCAGATCGACTGGTGTTCAATGGGGTGTAATGAGAATACCTTGGTCCTCGTGTTGGTTTTTCGCGGGGAATTTCTTTAGGACGGCTCCGATAATTGCTCTCGGCTGGCTTATCGGCTTTGGCGGCAATCTCTGCCTGTGCTTGATTATGGAACTCAGCTAATTCCTCCATTTGCATGTATTTGTCGGCGCGCCGACGCAAATCATCCATATCAGTTGGGGGTTTCTTACAGACGCTGTTGGCGAAAGGTCCCGGTTTCAAGGCGGTGGTAAGGTGGTGCAAAGCTACAGTAGGGTTAAGGTCTCGGATCTCCAAGGCCGCTTTATTAAATCGGCTCATGAAGGTCCGAAGGGATTCCTTCTTTTCTTGTCTTATGCTTACTAATGAGAGCGAGGTCAACTGATGAGGCCTGCTAGTAGCGAACTGAATGGTGAATTGAGATGCTAATGTATTGAAGGAGTCGACTGAGTTGGCTGGAAGTCGTGTGAACCAGCTCAATGCCCGACCCTTTAACGAAGTTGGGAAGATTCGGCACAAGGCAGCATCGTCGGTAGTACTGAGGGTGACCTGAGTCAAGAAGATGTCGACATGTTCGTCGAGGTCGGTGGAACCATCATACTTATCGAGTGGCAATGACTTCCAATGGTCAAGGAGTGCCGTCTGCATAACACTTGGAGTAAAGGGATGCCGATGTGCTCCGGCCGGTAATGGATGTATCGGTCGGCTGCCCGAAGCATGGGCAGCTGGGGCAGCAACAAAAGTGTGGGGGATGGAGGTGTGATGGCCGTGAGAGTGGAACGACCCCTGAGTGTGGGTCGTCTCAGATGGTTTCCACGTGGGGTCTCAGTACTGGTTTTTCAGAGCAGCATTCTCTTCCCTCAACGCGGCCATCTCGGCGGCATCTCTCTCTCGCTGGTGTTTCATAGCGATCATTTCTTCCTTCATCTGGCGTACCATATCGGTCAAGTTTGTCTCTTCAACCGTCTTGGCCCCGGACTGGTGCTCTTCTTCGGACTATTGCCCTTCGAAATTAGTATTCCTTGTCTTTACCATGATTCTTTTCCTCGTAAACTTTTGGTGTTTCTGCTATGCTTTCGGTTTGGCCCCACGGTGGGCGCCAAAATGTACCTGCTTGATGGTACACTCGTAGTCTTCTGGGGTGTAAGAGGGCCGAACGTGAGCTTTAGGTGGATTTTTCGGAGAGGGGAGGTACCTGCAAAAGGCACTCCAACGCTCAAGTCAGGATATGCACGATTTTCTAGGGTAATCAAAATGAACAGTGGCCTACCTCGTTACGTGTGACCTATTTATAATACCTGACATGGGCCTGAGCATGGTGGGCCTTCTCTGACATTTACCAAATTAGGTAATACGATGTTAATCAGTTGATTATGTCTTAATCATGCACTTATCTTTACTAATCATAATTGTCATTCTAATAGTTCACCTAATGGCCGAGCCGAGACAACACGGCCGAAACGTCTTCTCTCGGCTTCTGGCGGAGCCGATAGGGGAAGAGCACAGTTCTTACTCCCCTGTCGGACCGAAGTGGTATTCGAGCAGTATCATCTGATAGTATATGTCATGCCGGTCCACGTGGCCGATCCACGTGGCCGATAGGGTCCTTCCGGTACAATGCTAATTTTCAAAATTCTCGTTGATTGATCACAAAATGGACAGTAGTTGTTCAACGCACCATGCATGAAATAAACGTGTCGTGCAATTGCCTCTGATGTGAAGATCTTTGTTTCTCACCGTAAAAATTCATAGTATTACCCTCGGCGAAAAGAAAAGAATATTACTCTGTCGGCTTCGTTTGATTCGAATAAATTTATAACTCTACGTGCTATTTTGGAATTTCAATCATAAATGACAAAATATTAATGAGTCAAAAATTAAGGAAAAAGGAAATTAAAGAAGTAGGTCCCTTTAACACCAAGTTGTGTCGCCATTTTGTTTAAAGAAAGATTCAATTATTCAAGTTAGATGGCTTTCTTTATGCTAATGCGCTACCACATTTATGTATCTTTAGATTGGTTGGGGTTCCACCCAATAAAAAGTCTCCATGTTTGTGGTGTCTAAGGTCATCTCCAATGGAAGCAACTCATTTGAGTTGCTTCATGCATTGAAAAATGAAATAACTCCACGTCAGAGTCCTCCAATGACAAGAAACCCGAGCTTGAGTTGCTTCATGGGACAAGCAACTCCTATTGGAGTTGCTCTAAGTAACTTTCTTTCCAGATTCAACTTTCATTTGTTTAACCAACTCATCTTATCATCAATGCAACAACTAGTAATTAATCAGAGTTTCACTACATGATACGATTTTTATAATGCAAGACCATCTTAAAAATAGGTAAAGAAAATAAAAGGAACTTGATCCTACTCGCGACCCACCAGTAGAACCAAAGTTATCAAAAGAAAAGAAGTGTGACTCAAACCGTGACCTACTGGTAAAATAACACTATCAAGTTCTTATCCAAGAACAAAGGAGAAAACTTTCACAATGGAAACTAAAAATATATATTCAAATATGATTTGGATGCTTACAAGATGCCCCTGTTTATAGGCTAAGTAAGATAAACAACCTTTTGTAGGAACTAGGTATTGTCTAGGCTTTATCTACAAAGGTTAGGAAGCTTTGGAGATGAGAGAAGAAACTCCTTGAGACCTAAGAAGATACAAAAGTGAGTCGAGATGGAACTCAGGACATTTTGGAAAGCCTCTTTGCACCAAAAGGGTAAAATGCCTCTCCTAGGTCCAGAACGACCATTACTAGTTTCGAAATGGCCATTCCCACTTTGCAACAGACCTAGCCAGGAACGTCTGTTCCAACATGCATGAGCAAGTGCTATTTGCACGCTCGGAACGACCATTCCGGATTGGGAACAATTGTCCCTTCCTAGGATCCTATAAATAGGTGTCATGGGCTCCACATTCCACACACCACAAGTTGTATAGCTCCCTCTCTCTCTTTGACTCCCTTTAGATCACTCAAAGTGAAATAAACTCAGTGTAGTGTCTGATTAAGAGATCTTTGATCCCTTTGGCACTATTTCGGAGTTTCTAGTTTAAAATTTTTCCTCGAGTGTTCAAGAGGTTCTTGCAAAGCGAGGATGCTACCAAAAAGCACCCCAAATGGTTTTACGAAAAAATAATATGAAAGCTTGCTTCGAAGGTTTCAATCTCATTCTCTTATTTACTACTTTAATTGTATGCTTAGGATAGTCATCATGTAGGTAATAAGACAATCCGTAGTAGAGTAACAATAATGTAGAAATAAAATAACCATATATATTTAATAAATAAAGGGGTAAAAGATTAATTACATTATTATAATGCTAGAATTGTCATAGGATATCGAAATCGGGCATTGTGGGGTGCCTAACACCTTTCCCACGCGTAATCAACCCTAGAACCCAACTCTAGCTTTGAAGGCTAAAGTTGAATTTTTGAAAACAATTTTCTTTTTCTGATGTTTTGTGTAAAATATCGGTAGTGACTCCTTCAAACCATTTTCAAAACCATCAGTTGGAGGATTAATCCAGTTTTTGAGAAATTCGAAGTTGATGAGATTTTTCAAACGAAGGTCCCAACCATCTGTTGGTTGTGAGGTCTGGTCGGATCCATTTATTCTTTCTTTTTTCAGGTTTCGATAGATGGGGACACCGTTGGGGAAGCTAAAAGAGGGTCAATCCCGTTTAGTGCTAAAGTAGAAAAATAAGGTGTAATCAAATTTTTACCCATTTCTATTGTTTGTTTATAACATGCTTTTAGAATGGCTTTAATAACTGCATGTTTGCTTAAATTCCACACTTGTTTGAAAATAAATTACACACAAACCATCATTGCACACAATAGTTCCTTCTATACCCAAGGGAAAGAATGTGAATAAAACCTAGGGAGTGATTGATGTGCGACTGAGTATAGAATGGGCCTTAGACGCTCACAGGTCATTGTTAGAAATCACGCTCATAGGACAAACCACCAATGTTTGCCAGTTGACAGCAATAGAGATACTGGGTCCTTACAATGGGGGAACCTTGGGGAACTTTGATACCAGTGAGAATAGATAGAACCACCCAAGAATATGCACCTTTTTCTACAGGGACCTCAACCCATGGATATGAACATGATTGTTCGTGGGTGTACGTTGATTAAGGATATGTGTATGCATTTGTTTGTTTCCAATAGGAGTGGATTCGAATTTTAAGTAGACGACAAATAATTAGGGTTAGGAATAAGGAAATTAATACCCTTTTTATCCGTACTAAGGCCTAAATTCCATTAGCATCATATAGGTAGTTTCCTATTTTAACAAAACCAAGGAAAAATGAGAAAAAAATCCTATTAAATAAGATATTTTATCATGCATCATTTCCCCTTAGAAAATGAAAACATGATAAAATTTAGGGAAATAAACACAATGGCATGTAGTTTCTAGGATAGCCCATTAATTTCCATTCATTTTTTTATTTCATTAGATATGGAAGGAGTATCTAGCAGCATGCATAAGTGTAGACACTTAATTTCCCCCAGGACATGCAAACAAATAAATGGGCCTTTAGTACAGGATAAGAATTCCTGAAAGCTCGAGTACGACATCAAAATGAACTAGGAAGACATCAGAAGGCCCGAAAACCCAAAAGCTGAATGAGGAGCACAGAATGGCCTGTTCCCAATCTAGAACAGACTATTTCAAGCTTCCAAAATGGCCTAAAAACCCTAGGTCAAAACAAGTCGTTCCCAATCCAGAATGGATCGTTTTGACCCAATTTTTTACGAGTTAATTTCAAATCCGACACGGGCCATTCTAATTTTGGAACGGGTTATTCTACATTCAAAAATTGCCCATAAAAAACTAATCTAGAACGGGTCGTACCAATCATCGGAATAGACCATTTCGATTAAATCTGATGCCTATAAATATTAGTCTGTGAATAGTGCTAAGTTAAAAAAATTGGCTTATTTGAGTCCTATATAGTTCAAATATTCTCTCTCTTTCTCTCTTATGTATTTCTTGAGATGGTGAGGATTATTGTAGAGTGAAAGGCTAGCAAATAGTGCCTGGACTCCATATTTGAAGGAAGAATTAATTCTACAAAAAGCTTGCTTTGGAGGTATTTTCAGTAATTCCCACCTCTCTGTTTAAACCGCTTTGTTTACGTAACTTTGATATAGATTAGCGGTAATCATATAGACATTTAATTTTCAAACGTGTGGGGGCTAAACCCTTTTCTTTTTATATAAGTAATCATAATAATGTGTACATAATTAATAGAAGGAGAATTAAATATTCAAACTATTATTCTTTATTATGCTAATTTCATCACAGGTTACCAATATAGGGTGTTGTAGGGTGTTTAATACCTTCCCTGCACGTAACTGACCCCCAAACCTAATTTTGGCTATCAAGGCCATAATTAATTTTTGAAAACCTTTTCTTTTTTCTGATGTTTTAAGTAAAACATTGGTGGCGATTCCTTCGAACTTTTTTTCTAAAACTATTGATTAAGGATTAGTGTGGTTTTTAGCTGTTCCCTAACTAATGGGATTTTCAAACGGAAGTCCAAACTATATGTGGGCAAGATTGGAATTTTTTGGGTTTTGGAGGGTCAGGCCCAATAAATGATGAAATTAACAAGATAAGTATAATAATTCAAATA